AAATTGACTACTTTCCTACATGAGATCAGAGTGGAGATGCCTTTTAAAGGGCAAATGATACATATGCAAATAAGAAAGAAAGATTATAAAACGGCAAGAGGAGAAAGACGGCTGTGCAAGCCTCAGTGGTATAGACATGATATTTTGTAGTTTCCCCTACAACATGACTGAAGGGTGATATGAGTGTTGATAAGTAAATCATGCTGGGTAGGTTGGGGAAGCTAAACCATGATTGACTTCAAAGGACAGGTGATGAAGTCATTTTGATTTATCCTGAAAACAAAGGAAAGGATTTTAAGCAAAGAAATAGCTTTATTATATTTGAATAGCAATTAAATGAATAGCTGCAACTTTTTAAAAAATGCATATTTAAGTAAATAATGGGGAGTAACTATAAAGATAGGGTGATGAATTAGGAGCCTGAATAAGTAATCTACATCTGAAGTGGTTGGAAAATACCACATTAGACTTGAGACAGAGAGATCAGTTATGTGTTCGCAGATGGCTATTATGACATAGCACCTCAACAGTCAATGATAAGAACTTAGAACACAACAGTGGATTGGAAATAAAGAGAAATACTAGCAATATAGAGGCAGTAGAAATGGCAAGACAGTGCTCTGTTAGATGTGGCTCTAATGGAGAGATGACTTTAGGGTGTCTAACTGGTCAGCTATGGGCAATTACACAAGCTCTTGATGGCAGAAGCTTAGCAACTTTTCTGTCAGTGACTTAAAATTCCTAATAATAATGAACAAGGGGACTTATATTTTCATTCATTACTGAGCACCTCCCAATGATATTGTTGTTTACTAAGGCATGGAAGATGAACTCTGTTCTTGTTATGCAAGTGAACAATAACTGCAGCTTAGCTGTCACTAGACAGTGAGTTTTCTGCTCAAGACCTTCAGTCATTCACAGCCACTAGCTGTGGATTTTACATCTTTGTCCCTGCCTTGCTGGAAGTCACTTTGTAAATGCTTCATAAGTTAAGATATTTCACATGAAATCTCTGTCTAGCAGATGGGAGGATATATGGGTCTGGAGTTCAGTAGAGATACAACTGGAAGCAATATGTTAGCAGCCTATAGAAGAAGACTGTCTTTGGATGAGATATCCTAGGGCAAGAGAAGAGAGGGAAGTCAGCCTGTACTATAGAGACGATCGATAATAAACTGTAGCTGGAAAAAGAGAGAGAATAACCAGGGAAGGCGAGCTATGCCTCTATAGGCTTGGAATAGGGGTATTCAATCAGATTATCTGTACTTCAGACCTGGTTTTATCGCTCATGAGCAGCATGACAATGGTATCTGGCTGTAATGTAACTTTCTGTCTGCAGTGCCCCCACTTGAGTGATGGGATTGATGAGCACTGATAGGGCTGCGGTGAGAGTTCAGTGAGATCCTCCACGCGGGCGCTTACCACAGGACTCAGAGGAAGAAAAATCAGGGTGGTTAGCTATTATTTTTTAAGTGCAATAAAACAAGGAGGAATAATTGTCACAGGCAATTTTAAGAAGAGAGTTAAAAAAATGTAGACAGCCATGCCAGATGCCAGACCATTGATCAAGAAGAGAATACAAAGTCCCCATTGAAAAAAGGAACAAAGAAGTAATTAATGAGATAGATGGACAAGAGCACTCTCAGTACGGGTTGGGTTGCTGGGTTTTGACCATTTAGATTTAGTACTTTATCAACCTAGAAACTGAAACTAAAGAAGTCTGATGTTGTTATCAATCAGTATGTGAGTGATACCCTAAGAATTTCAATTGTGAACATCTTCCTCATTTTCTAAATACCCATATGTCCATATGTAAAAGGCCCAAATACCGCATCTAAAAAAATGAAATCTTTACTGTATGAGTTGCAGGAAAGTTGAGTATGGAACCCAGGACTGAAACTCTCAGACCTACCTTCAGGGGAGGACATTCTGGGCACAACTATATCAACTGACTTCCTCTGGGTAAATAAGAAAGAGTCCGGGCAGTGCTTCTTGCAAGGGGTGTTCCCTACTCCAGGATAAGTCTCTGGGGCTGAGACTAAAATGGTGCATCATAGACCAGCACAAAGTTCTATCTGACATGAATACCCTGGATCCAGAAATTTCAAGTCCATAATGAGAATGAGAAAGCATTCATTCAATAAACATTTCTTTAGTGTCAGACACTAAAGGAAAACACAAAGCTGGGTTAGATACGGGTTCTGTCCTTAGGATCTTACCATCTAAATGGAAAGAGGAGGTGAAAACATCAGTAGTGATCAAAGCAGGTAGTATTCACATGAGATGCAAAAGAGGGACAAGCTGATTACAGAATTTGCAGTAAGGAAACAATTGTGAAAAAAGTCCATGTAAGTATTAGCATTTGAGATGTACCTTAAAAGATAAGTGAGTTCAGAGATGGAAATGGTCAGAAAGTATTTGGGAAACAGGAAATAGTGTAAACAATGAGACAACGGTGGGAAGGCAAGCACTGGCTGTTTCTGGAACAGTAAAACACTTTTTAATGGCTTGAGCACAGGTCCGTGAACAGCTAAAAGTAAAGCCACAGGCCTGGTCCAGGAAATGTGCACTTTATTTCATAGTCAGTGAGGAGCTCTTGAAAGTAATTGTGGCATGACCAGAGATTTTCACAGACCTCCAAGTAACATGAGTCTGGACTTGGGAGCAAGAAAGGTCAAGCCTGAATGTGCAGACAGGAACCTGTGTATAGAGTCGATGGTTAAGATCAGATGGAAATGCACAAAAACATGGAGGTAGGGAAAGACATAATAAACAACAAATAACTAGATGTTCAGAGCTGAAACATTAAATGGAGCCAGTCAGTGACTGAAATAGCACAATAAAAAGAAACTGAGAACTATATAATATTAAGAAAAAATCTCCAGAATGAAGTGAAAAGAACTTGACAAAATGTTAGGTGTTTCCCTTACAATTTCTTATTTATTCATCACATAATACACAATGTCTCTGAAATAAGCATTACTACTTCCTGTAGATGTGAAAATAAAGATTTGGAATCATAAGCCACTTACATAACACATGACAGAACAGACTCATGCTCCAGGCATCCTGAGTTAACAATGGGAAGCATGGCACCAAACTGCACGGAGTCAGGACTACAGCCCAATTTTGATTCCAATTCGAAGGGTAATGTTGAATAGTCATTTCCCAGAAACCCTGTCATTCCTATAAATCTTGGGTTAATCATATGTTTGATGAGGTTGTTGAACTGTATCATTTATTCTGTAGTGTACTTTTCAGTTCTTTTATTTTATGAGTTTATGGTTTTACAATGTTATAGCACATTCTTGAATAAATACAGAGAGAACAGATAAAAACAACATTATAATATAAATATAAAAATATAATAGGGTCACCTTTTCATCTAAGACTGAAGGGGAGAACAAATGACAACTAAGCATATAAAGACTGAGAAATTGCATTTTGAAGCCATAAGAAACTGAACTCCACAGTTCGTTGGATTTGGACTGAGGGTTAGTGGATAGTTGAGAGAGGCTCTTAGGTGTCTCACAATGAACCATAAATACATTACACTGCTTTTGGTACACAACCTTCAGAAGAGAAATCTCCATGAGGACCATTATGTTATATTATCCTGGCACTCCCTGCTGTTAGATTTTATATTTATTTTAGAGAGAGGAAGGGAGAGAGATTACGTATGGATTAACTAGCTTCCAAATAAACACAGACTTAAGTTCAGGGTCCACTGAGCAGCAGGCCAGGCCGTCAGAACTTCCCTTGTGCAGGTCTGCGATGTGAAACCATTGCTCAGGAACTTCTCAAAGTGAAGTCCAACTACAATGGTCCTGTGACAGTCGGCCTGCCCTAGTGAACAGAGCAATGGCCTGGCAGTCAGACAGGTTAGCTCCAGTCCTCACTCTGTTAGTCGCAGAAGAGCGATACTGGACAGGGGGCGTCACGTGTGTGCCTCAGTTTGCTGATCTGTGACGTGATACTGCTGCGCCTACTTCATAAGTCAAGTCACCAGAGACAGGTTTGAACTCAGGGTTTCACACTGATAAGCAGGCACTCTACCACTACCAGTCTCAATGGTGGGTTCTTAAAAGGTGTTTAAAAAAAAAGGAAAGGGTTGGGCACAATTATTATATGTCCATTAAAAATATAAAGGGTTGAATCAAATGATCTGGTTAGGCTCTTTTCAAGTTTGCTGGTCTCCATCACCTTATTTGTTTATATGTATGTATGTTATATACAAATATATATATGTGAATATGTGATTAAAATTTTCAAAAAATGTTATCTCTTAAAATAAATTAAGCCATCATAATCTTAGACTATGTTGTTCAAAATACATACCAAACCTTTCAGAGGTTCTAATATGCTGTTGTAATTCTTCTTCTCATTCTACCAACCACCAATATAACTTCTACTATTACAAAATTTTTTGTGTGTGTGTAAGGTGTGGTGCATGCTGGGAATCCCAGCATTCAGGAGGCTGAGGCAGGAGGATCTTGAGTTGAGTTGAGGATAGCTTAAGATATATAGTGAGACTCTGTTTCAAAAATCCAAAGCCTGTGGATGTAGCTCGGTGGTAGAGCAAGGACCTGGGTTCCACCACCAACATCACTCCTTTTGTATAATTTGTCTCAGTTCTCAAATTCATCATGGACCAGATTCCCATCTGGATATAGGTTTGATCACCCAGAACCAAAAGTCTAGCTCATTTTCCTCTTTTACAAAACTGAACATATTTGTCTCTGAGTTTAAAGGCAATCTTCTCATATTCCAGGAATGAGAAAGGAAAGGAAGGGTTTTCTTGGAGATGGTTTTGGTTGCCTGTTTGTTTTCATCAGCAGTCTTAAATTGTTTACTCAACCTTGTCTCTGAGCAAGCTGGTAGCAGCTTGGAATTCAACCTCAGGACAAGGTTCTGTCCCCCTGCTGAGACACTGCACAACTAATTTCAACTAAAAGGTACAGTTTTGAAGTGTTTCCTCAGTGGCAGCTTCAGTGGACACTTCAAACAAAATTATGGAGCCTCACAGACAGACTTTAAAGGCTGCACCGCTGTTGTCTTTAGGAAGATATCACGTTTCTGAAGAGTACGGCTTTCTTCTTCCGAATCCTCTGGTAAGGAGAAAGCCTTGCACCTGGTCAGAATAGGTGTCTTGAGATTCTGGCTTATGTGTTTGTTTTCTAAACTTATGCGGTTATTGAGAGAGATAAAATATAAATACCAGCACATTAACCTGAGGAAGATGCTACAAAAACTATAGAGTGGATTACCAACAACAGAGAAGTGTCAGCTATCCAGAGGACATTCAGACGGAAAGTTCTACTGCCATGTTTTTCTTCAAACAGAGGTCAGTGAGGCTGGGAAAATTGTAAGCAAATCTGTAGTTAGCAGGAAAAAGACCAAGATAAATGTATAGAGCCTCATTTTCAAGGTACATTCTACCCCCATGGAAGGTTTCCTAAACATAAAATAAGTGGAATTTCTCTGCTATGGACTCGCTCCTTTGCATTGGAGATGCGTTTGTGATATAAACCCCTCTAGGAGGGCTGACTCCTAAACAGCTCTCCATGGCTACTGGTAGCATGTTAAAGCCAGATCTCTCTCTTTTTTTTGTTTTTTTGATGGGACTGGGTTTTGAAATCAAGACTTTGTAAAAGCGGGTGCTCTAATGCTTGAGCCACACCTCCAGTCTTAACACGTTGATATGAATTAACTTATCTCTTTGCTGGAGGAAAGAAAAGAGAACAAGAGGGAAATCTGGTAATTTCAGGGCTGGCAAAAGGGATTAGATGTTATCGGGAATTTCTGAGATGAGGAAGGAATTTTGAAGACAAATAGTACCTGTATGATTCTACTTGGCATATAACTTATCATGCAATTCTTGTTTTAGCATCTAGCCCTGAATACTGTTCTAGTTAAATGTGGTCTGATGCAGTGAACACCAAAATTTTAGGAGTCCTTAGAAGACATCTGGCCCCAATCCCCTTTTTTGCATTTGGGCTCACTGAAGACCAGAGGAAGTGACCCCACCAAAGTCATATTACTGGCAAAGAGAGCTAATGCTGAAGACTCTTGACATTTGTTTTCTATTACATCATAAATAAGGATCAAGGCCACTGAGGTCCCTGATGTTATAACTATTGTAATTTTGTATTAGAACAAACTCTCTGCCCCAGTCTAATTTGCTATCTACCTATGATTTAGAAATGGTTTAGAACTCAAAGACCTTTTGTTGAATACCTACTCTGATTTTTGTTTTGTTTTGTTCTTTTAAATGGAGTTTCACTATATACCTGAGGCAGGCCTGAAACTCACTATATATTACCCAGACTGGCCTTGAACTCGTGATCCTCCTGCCTGAGCCTCCTAATGGCTGGCATGAACAGCTCCAAGCTACCACGCCCTGTGGATTCTTTACTTCTGAGTGTTAACCATAGAGAGCTCCCAGCTGTGAGATCAGCTCACAGATCTCCAGGTCCTTTGGCATTGATGTAGTGACTCCAGGGAGCAAGGTGGGATACAGTGCAGTCCTGAGAACTGCACTGTGTTTCCTGACACTGACACTGGGATGACCAACTGTCTGTCTCTATTTGCTCTGTGCTGATCAGACCCTGAGATGCAGCACTCTCAGTGCTAAGCCAGGAAAGTCCTGGACAAAACTGTTTAGTCATCCACCCTGATTTGCAGCTTACTAGCTCCTGTGACCTTGAGTCACTAACATGGCCTGGTCCTCAGTTTTCACATCTATTCGATGGAGTCTTGCTAAGGAGCATGGATGTGAACGCCTGTGGAAGGACTAGAAGCCAGTCTTCCTGACCCCTTAATCTAGACCTCATTAAAAACTCTGGACCAGCACAAGCTGATAATCCCAGCACTCAGGAGGCAGAGGTAAGATGAGTTCCAGGCCAGCCTGGGCTACATAGTGAGAACCTGTCTTAAAAAACAAAGACAAAAGCCTACTCCATGCTGTGCATATGACTTGATTCAAGATTATTCCCACCCTCCCTAGGGCACAGGAGGCAGGTTTAATAGATCACTAGGCTCCTGTTGAGCATGTGCACAGAGCTGAGGATAAACAATATCACAGGTAAACATCGGGTTGGGTCACAATGGTAGAGTTCCCCTGGGCTACGGCAGTGGAGTTCCCATCTTTGATTCTTTTTTTCATTTTTAAACAAATGTCAGAACCAGATGAGAAGTAGTAACATCAAGTCCTGTGGCATTCTGGCCATACGCAATCTCTGTTGTGGTTTGGCTCTTCAGAAGAACTTCCGAGCGCTGAGCTCAAATTAAAAAATTCCTGATTCTACTTGAGGAGAGTTCTAGTTCCCAGATCTCTCAAAACACGAATCTTGGTTTCAGTTTTAGTTTTTTTTCATTCATGTGAGGATTTTACACATCTCCTTTTCTGAGAAGAAGGAGAGGAAAGGGCTTGTCATCAGAATTGGCCCCAAGTTGCTCCACCGTCAGGGAGACTCAGTCACCAGCCCCACCAGACAGCATTTTTGCAATCGATCATGGTCACCAACTACAAAGAGCCAGGTCAGCTCAGTGCCTGGGCTCAAGGGCAGAGCCAGGCTTTGTTTTCCTTTAGGTCAAGAGCAAGTATTGGGGGACCATTCCTTCTGTCAGCTGGCCTCAAGGGTGTCCTGTAACCATCTCTTCCAGATTGTCTTTGAGTTTTTCACTTGAAAGTCTCTGAAGAAAACGTGGTCAATATAATGATTAAGAAAATATTCTGGATTTGGGGCAGGAGATGGAGTTGGTTTTTCATGCACCATTGAGATAGAAGAAAAGACAATTTGAGGAACTTTAATGTGATCAATCAACCACTCAGGAAAAATAAACACACACACACACACACACACACACACACACTGTCCTGTAGAAATGCAAAGCACTAAATAGAAACATTGGATTCCAGCTGATTAGAAAAAAAAATAGAAAATTGCCATGGCAGGCTATGATTTTCAGACAGAAAACCCAGATAGGAAGAGTTCAAATACTGTCCTGAAAAATGATTGCACCTCTGATAGTCTCTAGGGCATGCCTGGCGGTGCTGAAAGGGACGTGACACAATGATGCTGCCATGGTAGAGATGAGACACAGATGTCTGATGTCAGAATGGTTAACATAGATGATGTTTTTAGAATGTGTTTGGACGAAGGGGAATGTAATGCGTGAAGTATGGATTTTTGTACCGGTATTAAGGAACCAAAGTATGTTCAACTAGCTGAGCTGTAAAGACTTCTGGAGGAGGGTGACCCGACAGATCTTGAAAGTGGATGAAAAACTCAGGATGGGAACCCATGCAGGTCTGATATTTTCCATCAACAGGAAGCTTGGGGAATGTGGTAGTTTCCAGGGCAACCGTAACACATTACCACAGTCTTGTGGCTTAAAACAACAGAAAACTTACTTCCTGGAATTCTGCAGGTCAAAGTCACAGATTATTGCTGCAGGCACAGACTTCGTCCGAAGACCCTGGGGAGGATCCTTCCTGACGTTTTTGGGCCGTGGGGGCTGCAGGTGCTCCGTGGCACTGGCAGCATCCCTCCACCCTGTGTCCTCACCTCCTTAGGGACATCTTGTCTGCATCTTTTCCTCTCCTATCTGTGTTTCTCTTATGAGGACATTAGTCATTGCATTTAAGACCCAAGCTAAAAGGTGAGATCAAGAAGAATTCACCTAGAAGGTAACACCCACGCACAGGAAATCAATGTGAGTCAATGCCCTGTATAGCTATCCTTATCTCAACCAGCAAAAACCCTTGTTCCTTCCTATTATTGCTTATACTCTCTCTACAACAAATTAGAAATAAGGGCAAAATAGTTTCTGCCGGGTATTGAGGGGGGGGGGGAAGAGGGAGAGGGCTGGGTGGGGGAAGAGGGAGGGGCGTAGTGGGTGGTAAGGGAGGGGGTAGGGGCAGGGGGAGAAATGACCCAAACATTGTATGCACATATGAATAATAAAAAAATAAAAATTAAAAAAAAAAAGACCCAAGCTAATCCAGGATGATCCTTTTCCTTATTTGGAAACTTTCTTGCTCACATTCACAGGTGGTGGGAGAGGGTACCACTCAACCCACTATTACAGGAAGTGGGAAGAAAAGATATAGAGTGAAGGTGCCGAAGCAACCCAAGAATCCCAAACCTGATCTTACAGGTGTGAAAGAAAAAGACAGGAAGAGTGAGAATGCAAAATATAAAATGGTCAGGGAGGGGTAGGGCACTGGCCTCGTATGTGCAAGGCCCTGTGTGAGGAACTTAAGCCATGCTCCCAGGCCAGGTGCAAAGTTTTAAAGTACATTTTCTATCTCCTACATATTTATTTGTCTGTTGAGGTTTCCTACTTTTAGACAAGAATTTGATCTTTCACAATTCCCCAAATGAGGATCCAATTGAAAATTTCCAATGTACTAGCAAAATTTATTCATGAGCTAGGGATGGTGGATCAGGCCTGTAATTCCAGTTACCTGAAAGGCAGAGACAGAAAGATCCAGGTTAAAGGCCAACCTGGGTAAAAATTTGTTAAGACTCCATCTCAACCAATAAGTTAGGTGTGGTGGTTCACGTCTATAGTCTCAGCTACTTGAGAGGTGGAGGTAGGAGAACTGAAGTCTCAGGCCAGCCTAGGAAAGGTAGTATGAGACCCTATCTGAAAAACAAATTAAAAGACAAAAAGATTCAAGTGTGGCTGAAAGGGTAGCATGCACAAGCACAAGACTAATCCTGGTACTGAAAAAAAAAATTATTGCTGTCATTGTCTTATATTTCCTTCAAACTGTTTTTCTTAATTCTTGTTAGAGTCTCCTTGTGACAAATAATAATGATAATAGCAATAAATACATAGAAAGTACTCACACTGTACCCTGTATAAACTGAAGTCTTCTTTCACCTGCTCCTCCTGGATCATTTAGAAATAATCCATCTGGCACTGAATTCAACTCTGTCTCTGGGATGTGTGTCGTAGCTGACACCTTTCTCCATGTCCACACTACTGCAGGACACTGTGTGGACACCATGGACTACTTACAGCTTCTTACCTTGTTTCTTTGTCTTCATTCTCGCCCAGCTATAAAACATTCTGTGTAGAGCAGACAGTGTAGTCACTT